TGATGCAAAATGTAGTAGATCAAGCTTTAAAGAACTGGACAATGTTAAATAAATCACTGCTCCACTGTTTCTTTATAGCTTTGCGTTCTCACATCGCTTTCTGTCTTCTCTCCGTCTTTTCATTAACCTATTCATATTTTATCTGACGTATACTCATCAAATATATGGCGCGTAGGAGGCTGTACTGATGATTCCTACTCCCACCTGTATACTGCGCTCGGCCTGTGTTTATAGCTAAGGGATGAAATACAGACTGCATTCTCTTCTTACACATGATACCTAGCCTGATTCCCTTCCTCCTCTTCTATTATTGCTAATCCATTAAAAAGTGCATCTTAATAGCTTTAAAACAAATAATAATTTTATACTAGTATCCTATTTTTTTCACACAAGTCCTTCTCTTGAGTGTTTGTCCTGTTATCCAAAACATATGGTGTATATCTCGCAGCAAGTTTACCCGCAGTACATTTGAGGAAGCTTTATACGCTAAGAAAGAAATTTCCAAAAATGGCTTAAATAAAGCAAGACCTAAATTTTCGTCCTTTCCCACTCCGATATATTTTAAAATAATTTATTCTGGAAAAGTAAAAAAAAAAAGATAAACGAAAGAAAGTGAAAAGATAAACAAAATACCAATCGGGATCTATTCCCAGATTCCAGGTCCTGATATTCCCTCCAAATGTTCCCAAGGAAAATCTTTCCCAGGATCGCGTTAGCTATCCGCGAAGATCTAGAAGCCCCGCCAATGGCTGGAAATGCCTAGTGGGGATCCGCTGCGATGATATAGCGCGCATTCCAGCGCTAATGGAATCCTCGTTCTACAAAAGCAGTCCGGCTTCATGCTTCGGCGGATGCTTCGTCCTCCCACGTCGTCTTCTTTAGTTTTGTTCCCAATGAGTTTTTACACAAAGTTGAATCTGTGCAACTGCTCATCTCCCGTACCTTTGATTTAGGTTGTTTGTTGTGCGTATTGATTCAATTCACACCTGCTGTATTTTGCTCTTGCGTTGCACTATTTTCACGTTTGTGAAGTTTTTGTAAACATTCTAAGGCATAACGTGCTTCCACATTCGGTTCCCGTATATCCTCTGACACACACTCGCACATACACATGCATACACCACACGTTTCACACCAAACACACACACACACACACACTGACATATACATTTCACAAAACGTTAACCCTTACAAGTGGCAAGTGGTTCGTGACTGTATGTGGCTGGTGAATGAGCACTGTCCAGATCCTCGGACTCAGCTGAATTCAGATCACCAAGTATGCTTCGATTTGGTTCGTTCGACGGAGCATTACCCGAGCAAAACTTGCACTCATCTCGTGACCGCTTGCGCTCTTCCTTGTACTTTTCAAGCCATGCACAGCTAGCTGACAGCAGACACAGAGTCTTGCCTGCAGCACGAAAAAAAGCTTATCGTAATTTTATGTGGTCTCCAAAAGAATTATGCGTATTATTTAAAAAAGCGCTATTTAAGTTTTGGATAACAAAAAACATTGCTTCGTGAGAGCCAGGTACTGTGAGACGAAGATTCTAAAAATGACCCATACATGGAAAGTACAGAGTTACGCGAAAACCTCAAATAGAAGAGAGCGAAGAAATGCTTAGCTGCAACGATAGCAAAAAAAAAAAATACAGATACTTGTAAATTCCAAGTAATTTTAAGGGCATTAAGATAACAAGAGATAAATATATCAGGCAATTAGGTTCAGGATCGACGGGCCTGACAAAGCTGAGCCTCACGAGGATCGTATCTCAACAACATCATTAGCACGGGGCTCCCAATCCAATTCAATTCTTAAAAAATAAATTAGAATTCACAGACCCATTGAAATACGAGCCATAAGAACAAGAGTTATAAAAATTTAAAAAAAAAAGGAAAAAAAAAAAAACGAACCACTGCCCGTTGGGCTTTCGATCAGGGCATTGAGGATGTTTTTGAGGCTCAAAAGAATTTTCGCAATCATCGTTCGTTGCGTGGTATATGGCTGGATATCTGGCGGTAGTTTCACGAGATATCCACAGATCAGCAGCTCCGTATAGTTGCTTGGTAGCGGCTCCACAGCCACATTTCTTTTTCGGCCTCTTCCTGTCGCACACGCAAAATTCACAGAAAGCAAATTTCATCAAAATCAGCCGATTTCACTGGTATTTTCAAGGTTTCAGTGCCATCAACCGAAACAGCCAAAACTAGCGGTCTGGAGCCCCAGACAGGTGCGACAGCCATTCCAGGCCCTTCTGTTTCTCTGCTGCTGCCACCCGTTGTTTGAGTTACGCACGCGTACACATCTCGGGCAAGCTGTCCCCTTCCCTCGTAACACAGCAAGTTACCCTCAAAATGTCCTGTAAGCCTTACCATATCGAGGTGTCGTTGTCCTCTCGCTGTCACCACTTCCACCTTCCCCGCTTCGACGCTTCCGACTGCCAGCGGATGCCCGAAACAAAGAGGCCACGCTTGACGTCTCGCCCATCCCCTCAGCACTTCAATACCGTCCCAACAGTACCAAATGCCGCATTGACTGCACAGTGACGAACTGTAGCTCACGACAATTACAAAATCTCGGCCCAGCCGGCGCCGTACACGACTTGCGAAAAATTTTTTCTCTAGGTAGTGGGTACCCTTACTCCTTGGGTAAGCCAGCCGTATCCGGCCCGCGGAGGGGATCAGTCTATACTGTCACGCCTCTGCACTCGCCTGGTGCGTTCCAGCCTACGT